GAACAGCAAGTATTTTGTGCCTAGTTTTGAAGTCATTGCCTCAATAGTTTAAAAGTCAAAGGGTCCACAAATAAGGTGCTAATGAGTAGACAGAGTCCAATTTTTTTTTGAAAACTGACAGAACTTTATGTATGATATCCACTTTTTTAACCTAGTATTTCAGGATCTAAGCTTCTATATGTCCCCATGAACCTCAGTTTATATCTGAATATATCATCATCATTGTCATCATCATCATCATCATCATCATCCACATTGCACAGAACATTTTTTCCATTTTATTGTTTAGCACAATAAGGAGAGTTTAACCCCCCTCAGTCAAAGTAGTGCTACTCAATTTTAATATTGGAGGGGTTTTTTGTTTGTTTTTTGTTTTGTTTTGTTTTGTTTTTTACTAGCAGTTTAATTGAAATTCTTGAGAAACAATGACTTTACCAAAGGTAATTGTATTCTTTTCTGTCAATGTACAATAAAGTTACAGTGTAAGAATAATACCTCATATTAATCCTCTAATCGCATATTTTTATTCCAAATATCTATGTTCAAAATGCAATTGAATTTCCTCCATAAAAGTAAAAACAGTAGCTAAGAAAATTGCTATCAGAATTCTCCTGAAATATAGTGCTTAATGAATTCTCACTAATGGAGTGCTTACATAGAATATTTCCTTTTTCTGAATCTGTCATAATAAGATACTTGGGTTTACTGTTAAAAACCAATTCACTCAAAAAAGCTTCTATTTAGGATGCTGAAACTATAACTTAAATAATCTCTTTGGGCTGTTTGGCCAATATGCATTTTTTTTTTATTTCTGCAACTGAGAAGAATATCTAGAGAAGATGAACAGGGCAGTTTAGATAAAGGAGGTTTCTATTATTCTCACTATTGTTATAGAAGTAAAGGGAGTTTAAAAGACTAAAGTACTTTCAGTTATGGAAAGCTTTGAGTGTGAAATATCTAGAGCACTTCTGAGAATTTAATTTGGGAGTCATTTATAGTTAATTTTTGTACAGGTCATGAAGTTGGTATCTTTTGAAATGATAACACTAATTTATCATTAATTAGGTGAGATCTTTGTTTACCAAACCATCTTTATTCTCTTTTTAGTTGATTACTCTATTAAACTATATATAGGGTTATTCTTTTAGACTTTCAACTCTAAATACAGGGATTATAAATATATTTATGTATGTATACATAAACACATGTATGTATATATGTAAATACACACACACACACAGAGAAAAAGAGAGAGATTTGTAACTATGTCTACTCACTTGTATATCCTTAGCATGTAGCACATTATCTTGAACAGAGGGAGCATTTAATGTTTGATTAATTCATTAATCAGTGAACAGTGCATTGGTTCTCTTGGAAACACAGTATCCAAAGAGAAAGACAAGTCTGACAACTTCTTCACGTTCTAGGCCAAGACAGATCAGTTCGAAAGTATCTTAACAGATAGCTTTTTGGAATTCAACTTGTAGTATATAATCTAACAATTCCCACATGGTCGTGCACTGTCAGTTACCCTCTCCCCATTACATATAATAAAATTTTAAAACCTTATTTTTTTCTAATCTCATATGACTTCACAACATCATGATAGATATGAGAATATAAAAATTAATGTAATTTAAAAGAAACATTAAAATTTGTAAGTCTTTCCATATCTATTATTTTTTTTACCACAAAAAATGCATTCAACCTTAGTCAGATAGTAATTTCCCTTCACTGAAGTACTATACACATTACATTTTAGATCAAATTCCTAATTTTAATGTTGACCAAAATGAGTCTTTCATTTACAACTTGCTCAAGGTTACATAAGTCACAAGAGTTAGAATCAGTATTTGAATCTAGGATCATAAGATCTGAGATTCTTTTGACTCCTAAGTCAATTCACTTTCAAACGCTGTACCATTAGCCCATTTTCTTTGAATGGAAATCAGTTTTTCCTACTTAGTTACATACTTGCTCTACAAGGAACAATTTTTTCATTCCTAGTTTTATTTTTTTTAAGTGCTCTTAAAATTAGGAAGCACATATTAAGAATTTAGCAGTAGGTAATACTTGAGATTTTAAGGATTAGTGAGCTTACCACATTTGGGAATTTTCAATGCACTAAATTGTTTTTGGATTAGTAAAGTCTGAAACACTTTCATCATGAGTTGTTTCCTTTAATTTTAAGCTCCATGTGTATTTTAAGGCAATGTAATTGTTATGTTTAAATACATTTCTACTTAAATGTTTTACAAGAGCTATATTACTTAAAAATACTACTTAATTATTTTGAAGATAGAATGGGTAGGATTTCATTAAGAGAAGTGAGGGAAGTCATATGCCACATATCAAATATGAGATAAACAGGGGCAGCTAGGTGGCACAGTGGATAGAGCACCGGCCTTGGATTCAGGAGTACCTGAGTTCAAATCCGGCCTTCAATACATAATACTTACTAGCTGTGTGACCCTTGGCAAGTCACTTAATCCCATTGCCTGGCCAAAGAAAAGAAAAGAAAAGAAAAAGAAAGAGAGACAAACAAAGGCAAATAGGTAGGAAAAAACAGCATACTTGGGGAGCAACAAAGAATAATCTAGTTTGAATTAAGAAAGTGGAATACAGAAAAGCTTTCTTTAGGAAAATAACAATATCAATTTGTTTGCAATCTACTAAGTGCCAGACACTTTTCTATGTACTGTGGATCCAAATTTTAAAAAAAATGAAATAAAATCTACTTTAATGGAGTTTACATTCTCTTGGAGAAGACTACATGTACAAATATAAAAGCACAAAGAATATATGAAAAGTAAATACAAAATAAATATAATCAATCAACTGGCATTTATTAAGATTAAGCTAGATATAAGGTAATCAGGGAGAGATGATACTAGCAGGTGATGGATCAGGAAAGTCTTCATTTGAAAAATGGTACTTGAATTGTATCTTGAAGGAGGAGGCTGACAAGGACAGAAAAAGAATATGGTAGTCCTTGAATGCAAAGCAAAGAAGGTTGAGCTATGCTTGGAAAAAAATAGAGATCTGCTGAAGATTTCTAAAAAAAAAAAAAGCAGAAAAGATATCCCTTCAATATTTTTTTTTGTAGCAGCATAAATGATAAATAGGAAAATAGAAAGAATGAAGGCAAGAACATTATTTCCAGGCTATTATAACAATCCATGTAGTTAATAGAGGCCTGTTGGTAGTAGGGGTAGAAAAGAGGGAAAATGTTATAGAGGTAGAATTATCAGAAATGGATAAAGGTTTAGCATAAAAGGTAGAGAAGAAAAGAAAACATAGAGAGACTAAGAGAATGTTGGTTTCACAGACAAATGGTGAAATCAGGAGAAGAAAAAGTTTGGAGTAAAAATCTAATAAGCCAGTTTTAGTTATGTTGAGTTCATACTAACATGTTGATTTAACACTAACATTGCTGATAAGAAGTAGCTGATTACAGCTTTAAGTTTTGTGATGCACTTTAATTACATAATCTTACAACACTCCTATGGTTTAGATAGTACAAGTTTTATCTCCATTTTACAGATGAGATGATTTGCCAGTGATTTGCCAACCACCAACCATATAACTAGAGATTTTAAGAGGTGAATTTGAATCCTGGTATTCTTAATATCAAGTCTTCTAGTCCAGTACAAAGTTGAAAATGTCCTGAAAGCAGTTAGAAATGTTAAGTCTAAAGCTTAGAAGAAAGATCAGGATTAGAGATATAGTTTGGGGAATTAACTGGGTAAAGTTTGTAGTTGAAACTTTGGAAATGAATGAGTTTTCCCAGGAAAAGAGTGTATGCATGAGTGTGTGTGTGTGTGTGTGTGTGTGTGTGTGTGTGTGTGTGTGAGAGAGAGAGAGAGAGAGAGAGAGAGAGAGAGAGAAAGAGAGAGAGAAAGAAAGAGAGAGACAGAGAGACAGAGAGAAAGAGACAGAGAGACAGAGAGAACAAACAAAACTTGGAGGAATATTTCCCCTTAAGGGGTAGGAAAGATGAATTAGCCCTAGGCTACACATTGTAAATAACAAGTCACACATTTATGACTGCTGTCTCATTTGAGTTTAATATCTAAGAATTTTCTGTTTTGCTATCTAAACTTTTCTACTAGCAATTTGTGCTAACTCTCATATCTGCAGTTGTTTTGTTTGACCTAAACTGTCAAGAAAAATTATAAAAAGACCTGCTGAGGTTTCCTGCATCATATAAGTCTAGGAAGATGAGTGGGGCACAAAAACCGGAAAGAATTGTCACTCTTGTTCCCAGAAATGACCATAACTTGATGATGGTTTGTAATAGAGCATTTATGAAATGTCTTGTCCAGATAAGCTTCGGGATCATGCAACCAAATGTTTATCACTTAACAATTCATACTTTCTAACAAGATACTAAGACCTAAGTCCTCACAATTACTGATTAATGGGCTAAGCCCAGACTAGAGCCCAGTCTTCCTCATTTTGAGCCATAGAATATTCTATTGCCCAATGTAATATGCTGAAATCCCTTGGTTTTCACATTACAGTAAAAGAGTCTCTACCATGATATCAAGATCCAAGTCACATAGATGGTAAATATCACAGCAGAGATAAAAACCTCTAACAAAATACAAAGATGAATCACTAGTTGATGAAGGGGCTGAGTCCAAGCTAGAATCATTTCTTCCTATTTTGTACCCCAAAATACTATAGTGTCTAGAATAGTTGAATATGGATCCCTTAACCTCCAAATAATTAAAGACTAATTTCTATATACAACCTGAGGATATCACCTTATTAACCCATTACTCAACAAACATATACATTAAATAGTGACTATATATCTTTAGTACAGAAATACAGCAGCTCTTGAAGGATATCAACTCAGAAATCATTTTGAATGAATGATCATGCCTTCAGAGAGACCATTAACAATCTTTAGAGTATAATATCTTGTTCATCAATATCGAATCTTATGACATCTTATGACAACCTTGCAACAAACCATTAAGGCAGTGACTCACCCAGATATTCCCATCTTGATGATATGGTTTCCAGTTCCTTCCTGTATCACTGTAGAGCATTCGGTACTGGGTCACCCAGTCAGAGCTGCTATATCTGCCTTGGGTGGCAATGGCACTGATCTGCTTCCTATTGCCAAAATCAACCTGAAGCCATTGGTAATGATCACTGTCTGATGGAGACCATCCTCCAGCTCCTGTATGGAGATAGATATATAGAAACAGTGAGATCTTTGAACACCAAGCCTTTTAAATTGAGGATATCATTTTTAAATATCTTAATTGGCTTTGAAAATGTTATATTCACAACATAAAATGCCCTTTATATATGCTTTTGGCAACTCAAATAACAGTCTTCCAGTTAGACCACACTGTTACTTCAACCTCTTTACAATATAATTATTCAGTGTAATGGTCTTCCTTCCTAATGAACAAATGTCTTCCTAATTCCTCAATTAGAGCTTATTAGTATATGTCAAGTTCTAATTGACTGAAGGTTGACCAAGTTACCATGAATTCTTCTGTTATAATCATTTATATGGGGAAAGCACATAATAATCTACAAAATCATTTTGCCTTTGAAGTAGAGCTTCATATTTAAAATTGAAAATTCAAATTAAGCATGAGAAAACTATAGTTATAGCTCTAAAACATCTCTCTCTTCTTCTCTGGGATTTTGTCACAGAAAAACAAATAATATTAGTGAAGCTAGGAAGAGAAAGAATTCCAATTTTTGAAGAACGGTGACTTGTGTTTCCCAATATATATGAGTTGTCAAGGCGTATACTTAACTGGTACTTCCTAAATGGATTGTCACCTTTTGTGGGACTATGAATTAATTTGATACCAATAGTTCATGTAAAGTCCTTTCTGGAACTCAATGCTGTTGAACTATTCATAATATACTGCAATAATGATATAAGAATCAAGGTGTTTTTATTACACCCAAGGAAAACACAATAAGAAAATAACAGCAGTTATTGCCCTTCAGATTATAAAAAAGATACTGTGATCGTGTCAGTGCTAAAAAAGTAATATCATTGAGCACTGTCATTTTAGTTATTCATGCGAGAAAACAAATATTAAATAAAATTTCAATAAGCTATTCAACACAGCACTTGTTAAGATATTATAAAATAAAGTCTTTAAGAGATTATAATTGCCATCAGGATTTTATTCTAACATAATATCATGATTAAAGTTTCTGTACATTAGGGCCACAATATTAAACATGTATGGCATTCTTAAGCTTATTTTTTTTTATGTGAGAAGGACCCACATTATTTTGATCAGGAACCTAAAAAAACCTCCAAACCTCATCCATTCCTATTACTTGGAATTTCCTTCTTGTTCATTACTTCCCTAACTGAACTTCACTGCTCCTTGACTTTTCCCTTTGAAGTTAATCTTATTTCCTGTTTTCTCATTACTCTCCCTTCACATGATGAATGAAAACAAAAACAACAAAATCCCAAAATCTACATAGATTAAGTGATCCATTTTCTCCCTTACCATTAAACTCCCTCTCAACTTTAACCTCTTTCAACTTTTCCTAGGTCTATGGTCTATGTATCTGGCTAGCACAGAGAACAAGGTTATTGTTTACTTAAAAAAAATTATTTATTTTTTAGGATTCTTTAAAGTAGGAGTTAGGCTTCTAGGAGCCAAGATACAGAGTAAGAAGTAAATTGCTTTCACCCCACCCTCATTGACCTATGAAAGCCCAGAAAATATCAACCAGAAAAACTCTGAGCCACCAAAAAGTAAAAGCACAGAAGTATTATAGCCTAGGAAGTTTGGAGGATCAATGGTAAAGGCCTCTTTTGCTGGAGCAGGGGGTGGTGGTGGCAAGGGAGTGGTACAGCACTGGAGGTGTCCCAGCAAGCCAGCAGCAAGCCCCACCTCAGCATACCAGGGAGAGATCCTGAGACACAGGTTGGTGGAGCAGGCAAGTGCCAACACTAGAACCCCATGGAAGCCTCAATACATGCAGGAAAACTGGTAAATACCGGCTAGAAAAACACCACAGGCAATGGCATTCTCCAGCAGCAAAATCAGCCAGTACCTCAACACAACTCTGGGAAGCACAACTCCAGAAGGCAAAGCTCCAGGCTGACAGACATCCACTGGCAACGGAATATGCCTGTGCAAAGCCCAGGTGAGCAGGAAGAGAAGGTTGGGTAAGTGTGCCCTTTGGTCCACAGGAGAGCTCAACACTTTTTTTTTAAGTGAGGAAATGGGCAAACACCATGAACAAAAAACAGAAACAGGAAATGATCATAGATTCTTATTTTGGGAAATGGAAAGATCAAGACATAAATTCAGAACAGGATAGTATTGTCAATATACCCACATCCCAACCTCAAAGGAGAAAGTGACTTGGTCTCCAGGCCAAAAAGATTTCTTGGAAGAGCTCAAGAAGGATTTTACAAGTCAAATAAGAAGGATGGAAGAAAAATTGGGAAAATAAATGAGAGGTATACAAGAATGAGTCAATAGATTTGGAAAGGAAGGACAAAAATTAACTGCAGAAAACAAGCCCTTAAAAAGTAGAATTGGCCAAATGGAAAAAGAGGTACAAAAACTCATTGAAGAGAAGAACTCTTTAAAAATAAAACTGACCAGGACTTCCGCTTCGAGGAGCCAAGATGGCAGAGTGAGAGTAGCTCTCACTCTCCCCTATCAACCTCTGAAAACCCAGAAAACATCACCCCATAAAAAAACCCTGGAAGAGCTGAACTAGAAGAAACATGGGGAGCACCAGGGCAGAAGCCCAGCAAATGGGTCTCCCAGTGCCTCAGCAAAAATAAGGGAGGCAGTACAAGGGGCCCCCCCAGCTGATAAGTACCCTGAAAGGAGGTGAAGAAAACAACGTAAAGGCTTCCTAAAGCCCCAGCCTTGCTGGTTCCAGCCCAACACCAGGTGGGCTGTCAGAAGTGAAGAAATACTGAAGCCCAGGTTGTAGAACAGGCAAACACTAACACCTGAAACTCTGAGTACCTGAGTGAGGATGGGGGGAACAGGTGGAAACCAGCTCAGAAAACCACCAGGTGCCTGGGCACTCTACCTCAAAGGAATCTCCCAGTGCATTATCAGAAATGAGAGGGACAACACTGCAGGGGGACCCAGGCAGATAAACACCCTGCAGCACCCATCTAAAAGGAGCTAATGAAAGCTAAAGGAAAGGAAAACCAGGAAACCTAGAATTGCCTGAAAGTTCCAGCCTAGCTGATTCCAGCCCAACACGAGGTAAGCTGCCAGAAACCTACAGCCTCCAATTGCCAACATAAGAGGCCCAGCAGCAAAGCCAGTGACAAGACCTAGGCTCCCAACACAAGAAGCTTGGGTCAGTACCCTCTGTTCCCAGCAGGAGAGCTCAATCTCTCAAAAGACCAGGGAATAAAGAAACACCATGAGTAAAAAGAAATGTACCATAGATTCATATAATGAGAAGAGTGAAGATCAAGACAAAAATTCTGAAGAGGACAACATTGTCAACAAACCCACATCTGCAACAACAAAAGGGAATATGAACTGGTCTGAAGCCCAAAAAGCCTTCTTAGAAGAGCTCAAGAAGGATTTTAATAGTCAAATGAGAGAGGTAAAGAGTCCTTCAAAAATACAATTGGCCAATTGGAAAAAAAATACACTGAAGAAAACAAGTCCCTAAAAAACAAATTGGCCAATTGAAGAAGGAAGGACAAAAACTAACAGAAGAGTACACTGAAGAAAACAAGTCCCTAAAAAACACAATTGGCCAGTTGAAGAAGGAAGTACAAAAACTAACAGAAGAAAACAATCTGTTAAAAACTAGAATTGGACAAATGGAAACTACTGTCTCTATGAGAGAGCAAGAATCAGTCAAACAGAAACAAAAAAATGAAAAAAAATGAAAATGTAAAATACCTCATCAGTAAAACAACCGACCTGGAAAATCAAATCAGGAGAGACAATTTAAAAATTATTGGACTACCTGAAAATCATGATGAAAAAAAGAGCCTGGACAGTATCTTTCAGGAAATCATAAAGGAAAACTGCCCGAAGTCCTAGAACCAGAAGGGAAAATAACCATAGAAAGAATCCACCATCACCACCTGAAAGAGATCCCAAATTGACAACACCAAGGAATATAATAGCAAAATTCCAAAATTACCAGATGAAAGAGAAGGTGCTGCAAGCAGCTAGAAAGAAAAAATTTAAATATCATGGAACCACAGTCAGAATTACACAGAACCTTGCAGCTTCTACATTAAAAGACCAGGGCATGGAACATGATATTCCATAAGGCAAAGGAGCTTAGAATGCAGCCAAGGATCAACTACCCAGCAAAAATGAGCATCATTTTTCAAGGGAGGAAGTGGATATTCAATGAAATAGGAGACTTCCAAACTTTCCTGATAAAAAGACCAGAGCTCAACAAAAAATTTGATCTTCAAGTACAGGACTCAAGAAGGACTTAAAAAGGTAAATGGGACAGAAAGATACAATATGTTGTTAATAAGGGGGGGGGTGGGCTGTTTAAACCCCTACAAGGGAACCCTTGAGAACTGTATTGTTATTACACCTTGTTAAAGGAGTATACATAAAGAGGGTGGATATTAGTTGACTTTGATGTAATGATAAAAAAAAATCTAATCAAGTGGGTTAAATGGATCCAAATAAGTGGATCAATCTGATCTTAGAAAATGTACTGAGAAAGGAGGAGGCAGACAAGGGTAAATTACATTACAGGAAAAGACACAAAATCCTGTTCCAGCAGAGGGAAAGAAGGGGGGGGAGCATTGTTTGAACCTTACTCTCATCAGATTTGGCTCAAGAAGGGCATAATATAATCAGTTAGGTATAGAAATCTAACTTGCCCTATAGGCAGTAGGAGGGAAAAGGGGAAAGAAAAGGGAGGGGGAAAAAAGGGAGGGGAAAGAAGGGAGGGAAGAAGCAAGACTAAAGGGGAAGAAAAGGGAAAGGGATAATAAAAGGGAGGAGGGGACTGAAGGAGGCGGTGGTCAAAAGCAAAACACTAGTGAAGGGGGAAAGGAAAAAGGAGAAAGAAAAGCATAAATGGGGGGAAAGGATGGAGAAAAAGACACAGATAGTAATCATAACTTTGAATGTGAATGGGATGAACTCTCCCATAAAATGGAAAGATTGCAGAATGGATTAAAAACCATAATCCTACAATATGTTGTTTACAGGAAAC